AATATTGATTTTCTAAATTGCAACACAAAGAGGTTTTACATGCAGTAAATGCTCTTATTTCAAGATTGCCCACATTACTTTGTAACTAATATAAGTTGAGTGTTTCTCTAGCAAAAATAATAATGCTAAATATATTAAATCATAAATGAACAGAAATGTGATCATAAGTATTAAATGTAGGTTTGGAGGGAATATGTTTTTTTAATGCTCTGATGATTCAAGCCCAGAAGTAGATTTATTTGAATTTAATTTATTTATGCATTCGGGTTGTTCCTCTGTACCTAAACTGCATATCTTGTGTATTTATTATATAACCAAACAAATATATGTCCACTTCACCTAAGGAAAAGTAAGTAACATACATTTTTTTTTTTTTTTAAAAGAGAAAGATTCACCATTCTATCGTTCAATTTGACATTATGTGTATATCCTTCGAGGATTTTTCCAATAAAACACAGTTTTTGGTCAGAGTGACTCTTATTGCCATGCTTTAATCCCCAAGGAAAAAAATATAAAGAATAAAGCACACTCTTGCCTTCGATCAAGCACTGAGTACTCCCTGCACTGTGTTAAAAGATATAAATATCCTAGCTTCTTTCTATAGATATTTTATTTATTGTTATTAATTTATTTGCACATTTTTAATAGTTTTATTTGTAAAAATTTTTTCAAATTTACCCTGTAGCTAAATCCTCCTCTGATGACATGACTCTCCCTTACTGCAGGTGGAGGGGTGATAGGGAACGTAAGTTGAAGTAGAGAACTTGGGTGACATGAAGCATTGGCCGTGCAGCTATTTGTCATCAATCACTAGTATGCTATGCGTTTTGACGACAGATTCCAAATATGCACAGAATTGACATTACCTAATGATGAATTACTCCTCTGGTCCGGCAGCAAAGATCTTTAACTTTGTGTGTACAGCATTTTGAACTGAAATAATTGTAACATTTTAGCTTAGGTGTCAATCATGCGGCCATTTCTGGTACTGAGCGATTGATAAAATAAAATTGAGAATGCCCAGAGAGATCATATGCTGTTCTGCCCCTTTGCCATCCTGCCTCTGCATTCATTTAAGTGATCCTGATCCTGAGCCATGTAGCAGTACAGTTTAGGGTTAAAAACAAGGTCTCTCTTTTTATCAACTCTTTTCTCACATCTATTACTCAGTCTTGATTTGTAATTTTCCTTCTGCTGATCTTGCAATGTGATGTACTGTTATTTTCCTTACAGAGAAAAAGTGAGAGGTTATCAGAATTTGCTCTCCACAATGTTCCTTAATCAATTTGGTAAAATCCTCAAATTGAAGGGTACTAAATGTTTGGCTTTTGTAAAATGTTACTTCAACTGTCCATGCATTTTAGGGATATTTTATGTTGGCTGCGTGCGTATATTTTACAGAAGTGGGATTGAATATTCAGAATTTGCAGTTCTATGAAAGATTTTGACATTTCTCCACTGCGGGAAAGAACAGATTCTCCTTAAGGCTTTTAAGAATGTGGTTTGGGTGGTATAATAGCGCGGTGTGCTTTGGAAGTTTTTGGATAGGTGTGACAGTAATCTTGGTCTAAATTAAGATTATTCCTTACAGAAATATTGACAGTATTACACTTGGATATGTGAAATAAGCATTTGGATACCTATGTGTTGGTTATGGTGGAAAAGGTGGTTAAACACCACGAGTTTTGGAGCTGTAAAATGTTTCTGTATTTTAAAATTGTTGGTGGGGCACTGATCTTATTATCTTAAAGGAACAATCCAAGCACCATAAGTACTGCAGTGTGCCATAGTGATTAAGGTGCCAGTAGTACCCTGGAGCCCCCTTAATGTAATAGTCAAACCATTAGTTGCCATCTTTGGTCTAAAGGTAGCAGCTTCCTGCCTCTCTACAGCCAGAAATGTCTTTCGTTGAGCTAAGCACAGTGGTGCATGGCTTAGCTCATTGGCTGAGAGTGATCATCTGACACTCTCACCCAATGAGCTGACCCTGCTCTGGAGGGCTTAGTTCAGGACAGTTAACATAAGCTCCTAGCAGGATATTCCTGCTGTCACTGCAGAGAGACAGGCCCTGGGAAGATAGCGCAGCTAAGCGGACAAGGGCACATGTAGGAGTGTGGATAGATGCATGGGATTGGTTGGGAAAGAGTGTGTGGGTGGGATTATGTTCTGTGTAAGTTAGTGTGGGGGAGGTCTTACCTCAGTGCCACTTGGGATTCGGGCCAGCAAACAGCTTCCCTCCCGCCCGCCCTATTAGTATTTTTAGTCACAGCTAGCCGGGGGTATGTCCTTGCCAATTGAGTTTGAGGGGTAACGTTTAAGTATATGGAATGAGATGAACAAGTTTTTAAGGTCTCAACCTCCCCTGCTTCAAACGGTTAACATTAGGTTGCCTGAGGTGTCGTGCCCATCGAGCGTGGATAAGGTCGGCTGATGGCGGGCATTGGAAATATATGATTTTTATGACAAGGGGGGAGGTGAGAGGAAGTGGTGATTAGGAACCACTGTATGTTTATTGGCAAGGACGGTTGGGTCACTTTAAAATACTATGTGTGGAGTTATTTATGTATATATGTTAATTTATGCTTATTTATGATTAACGTTTTTGGTTACAGAAAAAGAAGAGATTTAATAAATAAAGTTATGGATGTGTTATGCAGTAATTTAGTTTGTGATAATAAATGCTGTGGCCTGTTTCATCCATACTAAGTGGTCTGTCATTATTGGGGGGCTGAATGGGGTTAGTTTTTGTTCTAGGCTGCATCGCGATTCCCCACTACATACATACAAGGAATAGAAGAAACATGGGCACAACAGGAAGAAGTAAGACTGTTACCACTGTTACCAAATGGTCTGACTAATTAAATGGGGGGCGGCAGGGCACTAGTACAATATCCATTACAACCAGGGCCGGCCAAAGATATTGTACTGCCTGTAGCAAGGATGAAATGCTGTCCCCCACACTCCCCACCCCAGTCAGCACTCCTCCTCTCCAATGTCATCTGACAGGGACATAATGGGTAAGTGTGACAGCGTAAGAGGTGGTAAGTAACTGTGGGAGGGTGTTGGTGTGACAGGGTTAGGGTGGCAGGGTAAGGGGAGTTTAGGGTGTTGGTAAGGGTGACAGGGTTAAGGTGACAGCATTAGGGGGGTTAGTGTGACAGGATTAGAGGGGGTTACTGTGACAGGGTTAGGGGGTTAGTGAGACATGGTAAGGGGGGGGTTAGTGTGACAGGGTTATAGAGGATTAGAGTGATGGTTAGAGTGACAGGGTTAGGGGGTTAGTGTGAAGGGTTAGAGGAGGTTAGTGTGACAGGGTTAGAGGGTGATAGTGTGGCAGGTTTAGGGTGACAGGGTTAAGAGGGTTAGTGTGACAGGATTAGGGGGGTTTGGAGAATGATGTTATAGGGTGTGTGGCAGAGAGAGGGGGTGAGTGACTAAGTGGAGAGAATGACAGTATGTGGGGAGGCTGTGTTAAACACAGTCTCCCCACACTTACTAAAAATGCATTTAGTATATATAAATACTTTAGTATATATACATATATATATATATATAGATATATATAGATATATAGATATCTGTATGAACAGAGTTTCCTTGCACTTCAGGCTAACTTGTAACATACTTTGAATGCCAGGTGCCGGGCCAGGGTCATCATAAATACAAAAAAAGTGATGGTCCGCACTCACGATCTACTTAAAACATAACTTTTATTATTTACATAAAAATACAGGTGTGATGCCAAATGGCGTCAACGTTTCAGTCCCAGTTCAGGACTTTCCTCAGGACAAAAAAGTGAGTGCGGACCATCACTTTTTTTGTATTTATGATGACCCTGGCCCGGCACCTGGCATTCAAAGTATGTTACAAGTTAGCCTGAAGTGCAAGGAAACTCTGTTCATACAGATATCTATATATCCTGAGGACTCCCTGGTGGTCTGCTGGTGGACTCCTTGGTGGTCCAGTGTGTTGCTAAAGCAGCTGCACTCCCTCACGGGTTCAGGCACTCTGCGATGACATCAGAGTTCAGACTGACACTCACAGTGCGCTGGAACCACGAGGGAGTGCGGCTGCTCTAACAACATGGACGGCTGGCCCTGACTACAACACACTTTAGAAATCCTTCTGAAGCGTTGCTTTAATTAACACAATTTAAATGTTTATGTTGCAGTGTCATATTTATCTCCATTACAATTTTATTGACTTGTTTAAAAATGTATTATTATAATAAATGCCCTGTTAAGTCCTCTTAAATTAGCATTCTAGTGATGCGCATTTTATTCGAGCAGGTGTTCGGGTGGTGTCATGCAATAATCAGTTCATGAGAGATTTATACACAGAGTGAAAGAGGATGGATGTGAATGTGTGGGGAGAAACAGAGAGGCGCAAAATAGATTTTCTCAGGATGGAGAGATTCCAACAGCAACAGTTTTTTCTTTAATTGCTAAAGGGATGTGTGTAGTAGGAATAATTCATGCAGTGACACATCTCAGGCTGGAGAGGGTGAAAGAGTAGACAAGAGTGGGAACGTGTCAGATGAAGATACCATATCTATCTATACATGTTGATTATTTAAGTCACTATGCTATTATTGTTAAAAGCACTAATGAACAGAAAATGGACAGTTATTGCCAGAGAGGTTTGAAGTGAGAGTCAAGCAAAAAATTAAAAAAATTTCTAAGCATTTTGCCAGCCAATTGTAGTGCTGCATCTCTTCATTTTTAGGGTTTAGTCATACAACAGGCATGACGGTAAGCTGCTCAGACAGCCCGATTTACATCATGTCACAAATCCTTGATTTTGTGTAAAAGTAGAATACTTGCTTTTCACATACACAAAAAAAAAGACAATTATTTTGAATAAATATAAAGCACCCTCCGATGCTCAAGAGTAGTCTTTCTGCAAATTGTGAAGCATACATTTCCGTTACTACTTGTAAAGAGGCACAGTATATGCAAAAAAGGTTCCATTCCCCAGCACACATGACATGTCACTGTGGAATGGGAAACATTTAGGTTTCTAAAAATAACTAGGTAAATTATCTATAACTGCAAAAAACAACAACAACAAAACATACCTCCAGTTTCTTAAAGGAACAACATTAGGCACTATAACCATTACATCTCAGTGAATTGGTAAACGTTCATGGAGTATCCCTCCATTCTGTGTTAAATGTTTTAGAGCAGTTTCTGAGTATCTGTGTGTCCTTTTGTGTCAATGTGTGTGTCTGTGAGTGTATTTGTGTGTGAGAGTTTTTGTATTTGTGTTTGTGTTTGTGTCTATGTGTATTCTGTTTCAGTGTGTATCTGAGTTTCTGTGTACATGAGTGTCTGTGGATCCAGGGCTGTCTTTAATATTGATTGGACCCTGGGCAAGCATTTGCTTGGGGCTTCTGGCATGCAATCACGCCCTCCACTCCAACGCAGTGGCGGAAATAAACTAGGAACGGCCTGGGTGCAATGGTTTGAATGTAAGTATATTTTTGTATGGAGTATGTTTATGTGAATGTAGAGGTGTGTTTGTATGTGGTGTTGGCAATTGAATGCAGGCATGCATTCATGTGTAGGGTTGGTTTTTTAATGCAGAGGTGTATTTATATATAATTTTGATGTTTAACATAGAGGTGTGTTCATATAAAGTTTACAGAGGTGTAAATGTGTGCAATGTTGACGTTTGAATGCAGGGGTGCATTTGTGTGTAGTGTTGAAATTGAATGCTGGGATGCATTTGTGTGTAGTGTTGCATTTGAATGCTGAGATGTATGCACATATACACTGGCACATACACACTCTGATACACATATATACAGAGATACACACATTGAAACACATGCAGATACACAGATATACACACTGACACAGATGCATATATACAAACACATTAACACACACTTACACACAGGCTATTTCAGCTGCTGCCTGTTCTCAGTATACTCTTGCGCCCCGTTCTTTTGCTCTCCACATTCACACACATGCAGATACAAACACACCAATACACATACTGACAAACAGATACACAACCTGACACAAACTGACTACATTTAGATAAACACAATGAGAACAGATACACAGACACATATCAGTCAGACATACTGATAAACAGATACATACACTGACAGACAGACTGACACACACACGCACATACACTGACAGGCATTCTCTTACATTTTTTGGTGTCTAACAAGTTTTGGGCCATTGGAAGGGCAATAGTGTCCCTTTAAGCCCTAATAAAAATAAAATGAAATGGATTTTTGATTTGGACACTATGACCCCTAACGGACTTAATATTGATTGGGAATCTGTAGCATTAATTTAATTAATTAATTCCCTATGAGTGATTCTTATTTAATATAATTAACCCTCTTTTGAGGGCATAACTAAGACTTTTTATTATATATATATATATATATATATATATATATATGTTTTATTTATTTATATTACATATATTTTTATCCTCATCTTGAAAAGATTACCTTCTTCTCTATGTCTCTAATAAGGTCGAATATGTTGCTGTATTGATTATAAGAATGAAATATTTCACTAACACTGGTTTATTTGTTATTTTATTTAATATGTGTTTTATGAATAAGTTTCAACCACATGGGACTTTCAATTGTTTAATATGACAATCTCACGAACATTCATCCAACATTTAATGCAAGAGACCGAAAGTATGCCCAACCGGAAACACTAGGTGGAATGCAAGAACTCCGTACTAGAAGTGAAGCTTGGAACGCAAGAATTGCCCTTCGGAGCTCCGGGAGTGCAGCATGCCGGTCAGACGCCGGGAATTGGCGCGAAATTCAACTTCCTGCTATGTGTCTATAAATGTGAGATTGTGCACTGTATTACTGTCAAACACTTGAAAAAGACGTCTTTTACCATCTGTACACTGGAGATTTTTTTTACTGGTCCGTGTGGTAGCTGTATGAATTGGATACACTGATATACCAACAAAGCCAGATCCTGCTATAAGTGGCTTTGCTATGAATATACTGTAAAAACATATTTCACTGTGTGAGTATCTTGCTTTTTGTCTCCTGTATAGATCTGTAACCTCTACATCTCACCGGAAATTTAAGTATTGTATTGCTGATTATACCATTGCACTTCCCACTTTGCTTTTTTATACTACACTGACAGACATACTGACACACACACATACACACTGGCGTACATACCGCGGTCGCAGGGATCACAGCTGCGAACGGGCCCAGCCCACCAGGGGGCCCGGCCGCCCTGCGACCGGGTATGTACGCCAGTTTGCCAGCCTCGTCTCCTGGGGGGCCCAGGAGCTGGCCACCTCAGGGCCCTCCAAGGCTGGCAGTGGCGTTACATGTAGGGCGGGCGAGGGAGCATCCTCCCCTGAGCTCTCTGCCCAGTTCCCTTGCGCGCACTGCAGTAATGCCGGAGCCAGAATATGACGTCATTCAGGCTCTGGCATCAGTAAGCGGATCAGTGCTCCCTTGCCGCCTGCAGGACTGGCTGCCAGGCAGCCCCACTGGACCCCAGGGAATCCCCTCAGCACTCCCAAAGGTAGGGAGGCTGGGGGATTAAATTATTATTTTTTGTGTGTGTGTGTGTGTTACTGTGTGTGTGTTTCTGAGTGTGTTAGTTGTATGTTTGTGTGTGTCTGTTATTGAGTGTGTCTGTAGTGTGTCAGTGAGTGTGTTTAGTTTTTGTGTGTGTGTGTGTGTTACTGTGTGTGTTAGTTTGTGTGTGTCTATTATTGAGTGTGTGTCTGCTAGTGATGGTCAGTGTGTGTGTGTCTGTTACTGAGCGTGTTCGTTTGTGTGAGTCTGTTGGTGTCTGTTAGTGAGTGTGTGTTTGTCAGTGAGAGTGTATGTTTTGTAAGTGAGTGTGTATGTCTGTTAGCTAGTGTGTATGCGTTTGTTCGTGAGAGTGTGTGTGTGTGGTTAAAACTCCTTCAGCACTTACCTTTCTACACCTCCCACACTGACTAAAAATGCATTTATTATATTTAAATACTTTAATATTTTATATATATATATGTGTGTGTGTATACACTAAAGCAGGGATAGGCAACCTTCGGCACTACAGATGTTTTGGACTACATCTCCCATAATGCCCTTACACCCATAATGCTGGCAAAGCATCATGGGAGGTGTAGTCCGATCCGCCTCTCAGCTCTGAATGAGCCGCACGCGCATTCAAACCGCCAATAGGAAAGAATTACTCAATGCTTTCCTATGGACGTCCAGCATCTTCTCACTGTGATTTTCGCAGTGAGAATCGCGGAAGCTACTAGAGGCGGAATTAACCCTCAGTGAAACATCTGAAACTGCTATGTTTTCAGCTGCAGGGTTAAAACTAGAGGGACCTGGCACACAGACCACTTCATTGAGCTGAAGTGATCTGAGTGCCTATTGTGGTCCTTTAAGTGTATGTATCTGCATGCAGTGGCGTACATACCGCGGTCGCAGGGGTCGCAGCCCTGCGACCAGGTGCCCGCTGCCATGTGTTGCGGCACCGACCCGCGCAGAGTAAGCGCAGGGTGGGGGGGGGCCCCATGGATCAATTTTCGCACCAGGGCCCCATGGATCGTGTGTACACCACTGCACATACACACAGACAGACACTGACAGACATATTGACACACATACATATACACTGACTGACATACACACACATATACTGACAGACATACAAATTGACAGACATACTGACATTTACACACAGACAGACATACTGACACACATGTAAAATTTATATTTATAAATCCACTATCCAGTTTCCTACCTTTTGCAGGAGGGTGGATTCCCTGGAGTCTAGTGTGGTGCCTGAGGCTTTTGGGATTTAGGGTCTGGCTCTCCAGCCCCCTCTTCACTGCCTCCTTCTCCCTCCCTTGAGGCTCTCTGTTTTTTGTCACTGTCACTTCCTCCCAGACTGCCGCTCTGTTAAAGGGCCACAGTGTCTGACTCTGCCCTTGCTGGCACACGTTCACTGGGTAGCCATAAGTGCATGGGCCACCCGATGGGCCTCCTTAGTGTGTAGCCCCTGGCTGTACCGGTGGCCCATGGGGGATAAAAAGCGATTGCTGAGGGGAATGTGGCCCACAGGACCCACAAGGCAGCTGTTTTGGGCTCCCCAGGAATAACTGGGCAGCTTTCCCATTTGCCCCATGTTAAAGACGACCCTGTGTGTATCTGTGTGGGTGTCAGTGTAGGTACAGTGTAGGTGTGTTTGTATCTGTGTGTGTATCTATGTGTCAGTGTGTGTCTGTGTGTGTAACATGTGTCAGTGTGCTTGAGTGACTAGTGTTAGTTTGTGTATATGTGTGTGTTTGCGTGTGTGTGTCTCTGTGCATGTGTATCAGTGTGTGTGTGTGTAAGTGTTGTGATAAGGTGAATGGGGTGGTCTGTGAGGGAGTCTATATCTCGACAGAATTGTTCAGAGAGGCATATGATTTTTAACCCCAGGGGGAGTGTATGTTTCTGTGTATGTAACCAGAATGAATATTTAGTTATGGGCCCCTGGGGTGGAGCATTTGGAGAGCAGGGTGGGCCAGTGCTCCACTCCGCAGTTTAGCGGTTTTCTTGGAAGACATAGATCCAGCCCAGGGTTTTGGACTGTCTCCAACCTACTGCTCAGCTGCAGGTAATCGGCTGCAGCAGTGGGAATAAATCCCTCCCTGCTAGGCAGGTAGGAAGAGAATGTTTTGTTTCTCTCTGAAAGGCTGGAAGCAGCAGGCTGGCTAAATACTGAAGTGCTGAGAGTGGACAAAGACTCTAGGTTGGTGAAACCACATTGTTTTGTTTAGTTTAACCCTGAGAGATAGGGAACCTAATGTCAGTTAGTGCTCAGACGAGCTAGGTTTTTGTTTTATAAGGTTTTGTGTTACATTTATGTTTTTCATTTACTGCTGTATCCTGTGTGGATTTAAAAATAAAGTGCCTGGAGTATATGCAATTACAAGGACTGTGCATGTTTTTGCCCTAGAGGACCGTGCTACCTGCCGACAAGGATCACAGTGTATATACTACGCACAAATGCACACCTGCATTCAAACACCAAAATTCACACACATACTCCATACAAAAACATGCTTACATTCAAATATATATATATATATATATATATATATATAGTTATATACACAATATACACACTGCATCCACTACACACACGCACTGTATCCACTACACATCCGCTAACACTTGAATTTTACTTTGGCATATCAATTTGGGTCATATAAAGAGTGAGGGATAAATTAGTTCCATTAATGAAATTAACACCCACCTTTTTAACATATGTCCTATAGGGGGACCTTTGGCAGGTCCTACCTATAGTCGGTGGGGCTACCCATGTGCTCTGATCTTTAATCCTTCATTAATCACTAAGGGAAGAACATAGAGGGAAGCATTTGGCAAGTCTCACAATTACACAACTCTTGGCTATGGGAAGATAGGTTGACACCCCACTCCAGTGTTTAACCCCCTCCATTGGTGTGGGGTATAGCCCTTGGCAGATATGCTTTTTCCCCCTTATCCCATAATGCAAGTAATGCAGGAACTGGTGGAAAACATAGCTCCTGTATTAAATTCCTGCACCTACGGATTATAAACTAGGGACATAGGGACTCCTTTTGGCAGGTGCATTTGCGATTTGAACAAATGATAACATTTCAGCTTTGCGAGTTTAAACAAGGTTACAATAAATCGATGCATTTCTAGCATCACTCTTGCAAGAACTGTATAAACATAGAACAAAACGAGCAAATGTTATGATTAAAAGTTGACAGCGCGCAATAAAACAGGAACTTTGCATCCTGCCTGCCATCCATCTGTACTCTAGATTTGTCCTTGCGTGTGTGCCCAATATCACATTTGTTGTGCCTTGTCACTAATCAATATCCAGCTATGGTAACTGAGCTTGCTTCTAGTCACTGCTGCAGAATAAAATGTGTGTATAATGTAATTACTACAGGACCTCTGGTCAAGGAGTTTCCTTCCCTGGGTCTCTACAATAAGAGGTGCAAAGCTCAACATTCTGGATTATGTGAGATGATTTAGATCTGTAGGTGCATTTCAATGATGTTTACAGCAATTGTAGTGTAGTAATTAAATTACTATAGAGTTGTTTAGCCCTTGGGTGTCAGGACTTGGTTCCAAATATGCTTCTATATCTTTTAATGCGTCTACATCCTTCAGTTGCTGTAAATGTATTTACCTTATACAACAGTTATACGCTATAGTAGGCTTGCACACAGCGAGACAATTTGGATATGTTCTTTCCCTGTATCAATTTGTCTGAAAAATATAGTTTGCCTGGTCTCAAATTTGTACATAGGGCTTTTTGGTTTGGACGCATTTCATGTAAGCAATTGTTTGGGAAAAAGCAATCGTACTGCAAAATGTAAAGATTATGCATATATTTTGCAGTACACTGATAGGCGCATTTAGCTCATAGATAGCTCTTTCAGTGTTTCTTTCTCTGGCTCTGCTTCTTCTCCCCAACTCCTCTCTGTTGGTGTCCCCCAAGGTTCAGTCCTTGGTCCCCTACTGTTCTCCATCTATACTGCCTCCCTTGGTAAACTCATTAGCTCCTTTGGCTTCCAATATAATTTTTATGCAGATGACATGCAAATCTACCTGTCCTCTCCTGATCTCTCCCTGTCCCTCTTGACTAGTGTCTCTGACTGCCTCTTTGCTATTTCTAACTGGATGGCTGCCCACTTCCTTAAACTAAACTTGACCAAAACTGAAATTCTGGTCTTTCCTCCCTCAAGTATTGATACTCCTGTGTCTGTCTCCCTCCAAGTCTACGGTGCTACCATCAGCTCCACCACGCAGGCTCGCTGCCTAGGTGTTCTCTTTGACTCTGACCTCTCCTTCAAGCCTCATGTTCAATATATTGCCAAATCCTGTCATTTCCATCTCAAAAACATTGCGCGCATCCGCCCCTACTTAACGCCAGATGCGACTAAGGTGTTGGTCGATTCCACTGTCCTTTCTCACCTTGACTACTGTAATAATATAATATTACATATGTGTATAATATATAATAATATCCTTACCTTTTTGTGTCATTTTACCCCACTCCCTCTAGCATGTAAGCTCATTGAGCAGGGCCCTCAACCCCTCTGTTCCTTTATGTCCAACTTGTCTGGTTACAACTACATCTCTGTTCGTCCACCCATTGTAAAGCGCTGCGGAATTTGATGCCGCTTTATAAATATCATAATAAGAATAATAATAGATCAAGTGGTAAATTGGGAAATCTTTTTTTTCCCATCATTAATCTATTTATTTTTTTGCATCATGGATGGAACTCTGTACCTAGAAAATAAAATGTTGTTTTTATCTGTATTGTCCATTTCTTGACTCGTCCGTCATTACAGAATTTAGACAACCTGCTGATCACCCAAAATTCAAATGTCTCAAAATTAATTTGAAACTGAATGCACACGTCTACACTATAGTTGTCTCCTAGCCCTGTAACCTGCAGTCCAAAGACCTGTTGGTCTGATAAACTGCAACATTGTAACATACAATTGACGGGCTGATATAAGGTGAGCAGGAGCAGAGGACTTACCAGAAGAGCAGGAAAGTTTAGTGAAACTGATGTGTTTTCCCTTCTGCCCCCCAATGTTATTTGGTGCACTAATGTGAGTTTCTATGTTATGTCGGTTGTTGTGTTTTTGTTGTGGTCTGTGTTTTTGTTTTTCTTTTTGTTACAGCGGTGGTGTTCATTGCCAGATCAGCAATTGATGAGACTAAGATATGCCTAACAGGGGCTTGGGGAGTAGCGGTCTGCCGAGATGCCTATGGTGGATTGCAGACTGCACCGCACTCTTGGAAAACACGCCGGGTATCTGTCTGCTGGTTCTCACCCAACAGCTGATAGGTAGTTAAAGTTGAAAAATCTGTTTGCAAGCTAAGCACTATACTGTTAATAAAAGCTGTGGCCGATGCCCTACCAATTTAAAATATGGTTTGGTCTCAGTTATTTTGGTTGGAGAAGGGAATAAAAGGAGACAAGACTGGTTAAATAATAGTAATGTTTCTAAAAGGTTAGTTATGTGGATATGAAGCAGAGCTGCCATCAGAAATTATGGGGCCTCGTACACAGCTCAAAGCTTGGGCCCCAGGGCCCACCCATGAGTCCGCCTAAAGGCCCACTCCTGAGTGTAGTGTATGTGTGCAGGGGAGTAGGGGATGTGTGTGTGTGTGTACAGGATTCATTGTGTTTGTGTGTGTGTGGAGTGCATTGTGTTTCTGTGTATATGTAAAGGATGCAGTGTGTTTGTGTATGTGTCTGTAAGGGATGGAATGTGTTTTTCTGAGCGCATATGTGTGTGTGTGTAAGGGATGCATTATGAGTTTGTGTGAGTGTGGGGGGGGTGCACTGGGTGTTTCTGTGTGCGTGTGTGTGTGTGTAGTGTGTGTGTGTGTTGTGTGAGAGTTTGTGGGATAGGATAGGGGCTGAGATTTTTGAATGGTGAGAGCGGGTGCAGCTCTTGATTATTATTTTTTCATGTATTATAATAATTATGTTTAACTAGAAAAGCTACAATTTCTGGGGAAATTGTGTGAAGTGTTCTTGCCTCCACCGGTAGTCTACAACTGGAGTGGGCGGAGTAACTGTTATTATTTATTTATATAGCACATTTAACCTCTTAAGACTGCAGCCAAATGTACAAGTTGTGATCAAAACAAAATGTAAACAAAACCTGGCATTTGCACTGTATGTCTGTCCAACCGTAATTCACCTCTTTCATATTTAATGCACCCACACTTATTATATATCATTTTATTCAGGGGAAACAGGGCTTTTGTTTAACATCAAATATTTAGGTATGGAACATAATTTAATATGAAAAAAAAATATAAAATAATGGGAGAAATTTTTTAAAACAATTTTAGTTCTACGTGACATTTTAACTGTGAATGTCAAAATACTGTTTGCTTTTACTGCAGTAACATACACATATTCATATTCAGCGATGTCTCACGTGTAAAACAGTACCCCCTATGTACAGGTTTTATGGTGTTTTGGGAGGTTACAGGGTCAAATATAGCATGATACATATTTCAGTTTTTTCACATTGAAATTCGCCAGATTGGTTACGTTGCCTTTGAGACCATATGGTAGCCCAGGAATAAGAATTACCCCAGGAATAGCCCAGGAATAAGATATCGTCGTTGTAATACATTTTACCGTTTTGAAACACTAATATTTGTGTTCAGCGAAGTCTTCCGAGTAAAACAGTACCCCCCATGTACAGGTTTTATAGTGTTTTCAAAAGTTACAGAGTCAAATATAAGGCTTGCGTTTCATTTTTTTCACATTCAAATTCGCCAGGATGCCTTTGAGACCGTACGGTAGCCCAGGAATGAAAATTACAGGGTTAAATATAGTGCTAGCAAATTAAATTCCCTGAACTTTCGGCCTGGGTTGTCAGACAGGTCCTGCAAATTGTAATTAATAAAATGACCTAATTATGTAAAATTATTTATGTAAAATATAATATATAATTTTTTTTATTTATATATATATATATATATATATATATATATATATATATATATATATATATATATATATATATATATATATATATATAAAGTGATATATACGTATATACTTATGTATATAGATATATATATATATTATTTCGTTCTACATTTATTTTGATATCAATATATATATTAATTTTAAAATACAGTTAGAACGAAATTATGCATGTATATATTAGTTTTTTATTTTATTTTTTAACGTATTTATATTTATTTTTTATTATATATAAATCAATATCATTGTACGTGTATTTTGATATTAATATATATATATATATATATATATATATTTATGTATATATTAATATTAAAATACACGTAGACAGTGTGTGTATTTATGTGCATGTGTATATATATACTTAGATCATATATATATA